GATTTCAGCTACTGTTTCTTGACTTATTACTTCTATAATTTGGTCATCAGTCAATTCTTCCACTGGTATTTCATCATGAAAGTTTCTGCACTCAATAAATTTTCTAGGTTCAATTTATTAATCTTTTCTTGTAATTCAGAAATACCATCATCAATTTCAGTAACATCATCAATATCACTCATAATAGTATCTTGGTCAGAATCTTGTTCATCAGGTAAAATACGAGTCTGTGTTACTGTTGAATTTTAGTGTAAAAATTAAATTAATTAATCATGGACGTAAATTATATGTGGTCTAACTAAATTTAGAAAAAGGAAAATTAACCAATAATATGAAAATCTGTGCTGAATTCACGTGATTTCCACTGTAACGAGATTTATTTCTATCATGCGTCCAATAATATATATGGAAAGTATTCATATTCACAATTATTAATAATAGCCTCCAGTTGGAAAAATTCCTAAAAAAATTAAAAAATATCGTCAAAAACCAGGAGATGATGTTCGATATCAAATTTCTCGCTATGTTCCAAAACTTAAACTTGTTTTAGAGGTAGATTCTTAAATTGTCATATACTTGTAGTAAATATATATATTAATATATCTTTTTTTGATTAGAGTCACATTAACAATACATTAGATACTAATTCATATCCATACACGAGAGATCCCGGAGTTGCTGACAGATCTAAAGGACAACAACAAGCTCCAGTTTCTTTAAGAAGGTTATTCTCTTTTAAAATTTTCTCTGGATTAAAAATAATTAACAAAAAAATAATAATAATACATTTATATATAATATATAAATAATAATAGCGTGCGAGCTAGATGGTTTGAATCAGGACCATCGGCGGTAACCATTCATATATGATATTAATAATAGATTATCATAACCATTTATTTATAATCTAATAATCTATTGTTTTTAGAGTGAAAATCGCAAACCTAGAATAATAGCATTTGTAGCAGGTGGTTTAACTTATTCTGAAATTCGTAGTGCATATGAATTGACAGAAAGCCATAATAAAGATGTAATTATTGGATCAACTCATGCGATCACACCAAGAAATTTTATTGAAGATTTAAAACTTCTCCGTAATCCACCAACAAGGATTTATCAACCACAGCATCATCAACAACACCAACCAAACTTACTACCTACATCAGCACCAGCATATGGTGGTGGTTTCATTTCACAGCCACAACTACAACAACCACAAATACCTCCAAAACCTTTCTCTAGCCCCGGACACATTCATAATCCGCCACCACCTGATAATAGTAATCCAACTTCTAAAGGAAAGCTTTTTTACAAGTTTTAGATGATTGATTTACTGTTTATTTTTTACCACTAATTACTATAAATTTATAATTTTTGGATGAATTTTATTTTTTATTATTGTTATTTTATTTTATTTCTGTATTATTGTTTATAATACATACACATACATTACCTCTTTATTATTATTATCAATCGTGTTTGTTACTCAGAAATTCATTGATTTGTTTTTACTTTATTTAAAATGTTAATATTTCTAATAAAAAAAAATAATTTTTAATTAGAAAAATATTATATTATTTATAAATTAGATTCCCAATTATTAATTTATTCATCATTAAAATATATTAGTAGCTTGTATGGTGTGGAAATTAGAGTTAGGGATGATGACCGAGACATTAAAATTCAAAGCTCATTCCAACATTTTAGAGCAGCTTTACCTGATAATTTGTTAAGAAGAACTAAATTGAAAAAAAAAAAATTATTTCTTCAAAAGTTTTGAATGTAATTTAATCAATTGATTTGTTAATTTTTAATGATGATATATAATCATTAATGTAGGTGACCTGATGAAAATATCGATCTTAGAACTTCTTGTAGTATGTGATGAGTTTTGCCTCAGTGAATTAATTAAGGATTAAAACAAGAATGGATTTGACAAAATCTAATTTACATTTATCAAGATATTGGTCATTCAAAATTATTTTGGCAAATTAAACTATATGTAACAACATTTAATTATGTATTGAAGAGAGATGATTTAGAATTAAGCAAGGTTGATATTTGGAATCATGTTATTCAACGGGGAAAAAAATCATTTCAGAGTGGAATGATGATGATTTCACTGACTTGAAAAAATATATTATTCCATCAATAAGATTCAATCAAATTGCTTCAACTGACTTTTTTATGTGGTATGAATTTAATGAAACTATCATGTAATTTAATCCTAAACTGTGGGCGAAACTTTTAAACTATGGTTAAATTGTCAGACCTATAAGCAAAAGTTTATATTGTGATAAATAAAACGGATTTATCGATGTGCTGTCCAATCGTATCTCGGGCATGTGACTTATATAGTCTTATTTATTAATAGCATCACCTACTTTAAGACACATGAGAAAATGCCTTTACTATCTTTATTAGTTTAACATATTATTAGAACGAATATTAAATTAAACTAATGCAATTCAAAAACCTTTTGTAAAGCATACGTTAAAAAATTAGGAGAGGTTTCTAAATAAAATATTTAATTTATGTTAAATTTATAATGAATTTTCTTTAGAAATCAAAAGGTTAAAAAAATTATTCTTCATAGTATGTTTATTTCATTTATATATATATATATATTTATTTATTTATTTTTATAAAAAAATAAAAAAATTAGAATTATACATATTTGGTTTTTTTCCTGTATATTAAAAAAGGTGGTGGTGGTGATTATTTGATATATTACTTGCTACTATAGTTTAATCACAATAAATAAATATAATATATTCGTACTCCATTTAATATGTTTTAGATGATTGATGATTTTAAAATAATAATTCTAATTATATTACAGTCAAAGCACGTTACAGTGAACCCTTGGTTCCCGAGATTTTGTTCACTGTAACGAATGTTCACTGTACTGAGAGATCTCTTTATAGTGAAATTTGTGTAAAGTTCACTATAATGAAAGTATTTTAATTAATATTTTTATTTAGTAATAAAAAAACTATACATAAATAGTTTTTACATATTAATATAACTATCTAAAGTAGATTTTCGAATTAATATTTTCACTTTTTCTTTTACAGAATTAAAAGCTTTTAGTTCTTCCATTTTAATATTAAAATTATCAGGTGGGTTTTTACAATATCTGATAATTTTTTCAAGAGCTTCCATATTAGAAATAACTGCTATTTCTTCTTCATACTCCTCTTCTGGATTGTTGATTTCAGCTACTGTTTCTTCACTTATTACTTCTATAATTTGGTCATCAGTCAATTCTTCCACTGGTATTTCATCATGAAAGTTTCTGCACTCAATAAATTTTATAGGTTCAATTTATTAATCTTTTCTTGTAATTCAGAAATACCATCATCAATTTCAGTAACATCATCAATATCACTCATAATAGTATCTTGGTCAGAATCTTGTTCATCAGGTAAAATACGAGTCTGTGTTACTGTTGAATTTTAGTGTAAAAATTAAATTAATTAATCATGGACGTAAATTATATGTGGTCTAACTAAATTTAGAAAAAGGAAAATTAACCAATAATATGAAAATCTGTGCTGAATTCACGTGATTTCCACTGTAACGAGATTTATTTCTATCATGCGTCCAATATAAAAAAAATTTCAATGTTCACACTAACGAATATAGAGATTTACTATTATGTTCACTGTAATGAGTAAAATTTACTATAGTGTGAACCAGGGGATTAAAAAAAGTTCACTGTAAGCCATTTCCACTGTAACAAGAGTCACTGTAACGAGCTTTGACTGTATTATTCAAAACCTTATTATGTCTGCTCAACTGTCATATTATTATCTTGTTATATTTTTTTAAATATAATAATAGTAAAGTTAATAACACTAAAGAAATATATGATAATTGTGATGATAAATTATAATGCTTCAGACTTCAATAGGTAATAAATCAACTTAGTTGTATCTCACCATTCTCTTGGATTTAACCCATAATGTGAATGTGGTTTTATTTCACCAAAATTTTACAATTAAAGGGGGAATTTTGCCATTTTAAATTTCTATAATTAAAAACTGATTCAGGATCCTGGCAAAAGATTAGTGCCGTAAATTATGATGATGGTAGTAATTGTATTTACAGCATATAAAAAGTGGTTGCAATTACCTTTGCGACCACTTTTGCAACCATACTTTTTGCTTTTTTTGGATTACGGCACTAGTCTTTAGGACAGATATTTGCCTTGTACAAATTCAAATTAGACTGATTGGTAATATTAATCCTATAAATTTTAATCATGTCAATTAGAAACTATTGTTTATTCTTTTTTTAATATGATGATGACAATTTTCTAGATATATAAGCATATGGTGCAAGTTGCCCCAATGAAGATGGTAAATGCAAAATGTCAGCTACAGACAATAATAATAGTGATAGAACCATTGTTGACAATTAAACACTACCGCACCGATGAAATTTTCTTTTGTAAGTGTTACAATAAATAGTGTGTGTTTGGTGGTAAGGCTATGTAGTCGCCTGATATTGCTATTGCCAATTGCTAGTTAAGTGTTAAAAAACACAAACTGAAGAACTTTTATTGGCAATAATTTTTTTTGCAAAATAACAATAGGGCTTCCAGATTAGGAAAGACTTGGTCTGTAAATGGGTTTTCCTTTGGTTAATAACCATTTCTCAGAATGAAATAGTTAATAAATGGTTAATAACTTGGAATTATTAAGGTATGGTTAAAAAATTAAAATTAAAAATCAGGTTTATAAAGTAATTTCGTTCCCCGTATTTTTTAAAAATAGATATTTGTTACGCCAAATTTTAAAAAATCGTATATGCAATCCTCCTTTTCTTTGACACAAAGTTTCTCAAAACATTTAATAATATTATTATAAAACAAAATGTTGTCAAAATCTTTTAAATTCTTAACATTTACTCTTTTAATTATTACGATTTTATTGAATGCTTTTATCAATGCATCACCAATTCTCTCAGAAAAACGTACAGCAGTTAATGTTGCTATTGCAAGATTTGATAACGGCGGTAATGTAAAAAGAGTTTCTGGTGAAATCCGGTTTGCACAGATTTCAAAAACAATTACACGTATAACTGGACAATTCAACACTGGTTTTGTAAGTAAAATAAAAATGATTACAAATTCTTCATGGTTAATGATGATGGTAAAGTAATAGTCAATCTTACTGATAAAATTAGAGATCAATTGTTTATTAATCGTCCTGGAACTGGACCATTAGAATTTGACAAAAAACTCAAAGTTAGAGATATAGTGAGTTTCGTGGCTCTTGCAGACTTCTGTGGTGAAGAAATCGGAAAAATGGAAATCGAACTTGAATCTGTATAATTAATACAATTAATTGTTATTGTTTTATTGTGCATAATGTTATTTTATGATGATTTTTAATGTATTAATATTATTAGTTCTTCTAATATTAATGTATTTTCTTTAAAACAATTTGTATTAATATTTTCGAATAAATAGATACATACATGTTTTAATACTGGGCAGCGTGTTGTTACAATTTTTAAAGCAATTTACTACAAATAGTGATATAAAAACGTTAGCTGGCTGAGCCGTTTAAAAATTCCTTGGCTGGCTGAGCATAGTAGAAGTTTTTTGTTACACGAAACGTTATACAGAACTCATTGCTTCTGAAACTTCGCCAGTATATAGTTGTTGCCTCTCTAAATTGGTGATCAAGTCCAGATCCAATTCAAATCCAGTTTATCACTTACTTTTTATTGCCAGAATGTTTGCCGTGTATTGTAAAGCTACGTTGCACAATATAAAAAATTAGTGTAACATTTCAAACTTCTATGCTAAAGGAAACTCACTAGCCATTTTTTGTAAGATATTCTGAGTATTTTTCACAACTTTTTATGTTTTCTTACATACCAGTTCAAATATGATTGTCCGAGGTCCTCATCAACTCATGTTTTTTTGCTGTTTCAATAGTATGTAACCCCCTTAATGATATTCATGATATAAAAACCCCACAGTGTGGACAGTGTTGTGACCAGAAACTCTTTTGGCTTCCCGAAACGTTTCGAAAAATGAACTTACACTAAGCAGAAAACTAAAACTAAAACTAAAACTAAAACTAAACTACTAACCTAAACTAGTTTCGGGTGGTTTCTGTTAGTTTCTGTTTCGGGTTTTCCCTAAGCTCAGAATTTCGGGTCACAACACTGAGTGCGGATCATCTATACTCAAAGTCAAAAATTTTGAAATATTATGTGATCCACACATTGAAATTTTAAAAAACCACCACCATTCGATTCACCTTTAAAAAGGGAGTCTATAAATTTAAAAAAAAATTTGTC